GCCGTCGCCGTCCCGAGTCCGGCCCCCAGAGTGGCTCCGCCGTCGCCAGACCGAGTCCGGCCACCAGAGGTGCTCCGCCGCCGCCGGCTCCAGTCCGGCCCCCAGAGGGGCTCCGCCGTCGCCGGCCCCCAGAGTGGCTCAACCTTCGCCGGCCCCAGTCCGGCCCGAGTCCGGCCCCGAGAGTGGCTCCGCCGTCGACGGCCCCAGTCCGGCCCCCAGAGTGGCTCAGCCGTCGCCGGCCCCAGTCCGTCCCGAGTCCGGCCCCCAGAGTGGCTCGGACGTCGCCGGCTCCAGTCCGGCCCCTAGATGGGCTCCGCCGTCGCCGGCTCCCATTCCGGCCTGAGACCGGCTCCCAGAGGGACCCCGCCTCAGCCGTCGCCGGGTTCCAATCCGGCCGGAGACCGGCTCCCAGAGGGATCCCGCCTCAGTCGTCGCCTATTTCCGGTCCGGCCCGAGTCCGGCCCCCGCCTCCAGCTCGGCCGCCCGAGGATCTCCGTCTCGTCCGTCGCCGGGCCCTTGATGGGTTCCGCCGCCGGCCTCCAACCCGACCGCCCGACGGTCTCCTTCTCGTTCGTCGCCGGCCCCCTGATGGGTTCCGTCGCCGGCCTCCAGCCCGACCGCTGGCCTCTGTGGCCCCGCCTGGCCATTCAGCCTCCAGGCCGTCCTCTGGAGCAGCCCTGCCTACCTGTGGAGTATATATTTTGGTTTGCCTTGCTGACAGGCTCCCAGGCTGTCCTCTGGACCTTTTGGTTTTCTGGACTGCCTGCCGGCTTTGTTTTTTGGTGGTTTTGTTTTTTCTCCCCCTATAGACTTCGGATTATCTGCCAGACTGTTCTGGACACCTTTTGTTTGTTTTTTGCCTTCTGATGTTAAATGTTTCTTGTTTCCTTTTTTTTTTTTTTTTTCTCATTTGTGAAGCCCTTTATAAACTTTATTTTAAAAATGCACTATATAAATAAAGTTATCAACATATTGTTATTACTTTAAACTTGTCTTTATGCTATCATCATTTATTATACTTTTTTTTTATTTTTTTTTAACTCAAAAAGATTGAACAGCTTTTGTTGAGCCCAAACGTTACTTTTTGGTGCAATGAAGACGTGTTTTATTGATTATTTCATGAACACGCTATAAATATGGAACAACAACGTCTTAATCAATGATATGTTTCCTACTAATTGGTTTTCTAAAATCTAAATTTAGAGTAAAAACCTGCTTTCATTGGCTGTAAAAGCCTCACGCTGAGCCTGAGTGTTTCCCTGAGCCTGCTCACTGAGCAGCATCAGCAGGAGGCTCTGCTTTAATCCGTCCCTTGTCTAAACACTTCCAGCGACGCCGCCGAAGCAAAGAGGTTCTGTCACGAACACGAGTGTCCGTCCAACTGGAACAACGCCAACGAGATCAACTGCTGCGTCTACCACGCCAACATCCACTCCTGTCCTCTGGGCCTCATGGTGGGTATACAACAACACAACAATACAGCAACACAACATCCACTCTGTCCTCTGGGCCTCATGGTGGGTTCACAACACAACAATACAACACAACAACATACACTCCTGTCCTCTGGGGCTCATGGTGGGTACACAACAACACAACTACACAGCAACACAACTACACAGCAACACAACAGCACAATTAGACAACAACACAGTACAACAACACAGCAATGGGTACACAACAAGACAACGTCCACTCCTGTCCTCTGGGCCTCATGGTGGGTACACAACAACACAACACAACAACAACACAACAAAGCACAATCATGCATTCATGGCTGCACCATGGTACCTCAGGCGGTCATACAAGTTTTATTTGTATTTCCCACTCAGTCTTTTTAAATGCATTCCACCTGAATTCATTTTAAGATATTTGGTGTTTTGATTCTTCTGTGGTGCACGGCCAGACTCTGCTCCGTGTGAAAACCCCACCAGTGAAGATCCATTTCTGTTTAATGTAAATAATTCCAAAACTAACCCAAACACGCTCACAGTGATTCTGAATTAAATGGGATTAAAACCAAACCCTCAATGCGGCGTGAACGTTTTGCATCACTACAAACTGCTGTGTCGTCTCTTCACAGAAACAAGGAGGGATCTGTGGGCCGTGGATTCCTGATGACGGTAAAATAGTGACTCACACTGTGTCCAAAGCAGGAAAGATGAGCCAGAAGTACTGGACCTCCAAGGTGAGTCCAACCAGACCACAGACTTGTTGTGTTTGGAGGACTTTTCTTACTGTTCGCACCACGTTAACATCTACAAGTAGTTCATGCAGCTCTGATCAGTTTTGTTTTCTTAAATAAGCCAGAACATCTAAATAACACTATCCACTGAGGTTTTACACTAAAACCTGATTCTTCCACAGCAGAAGTGCATTTTAGTGTCCATCACGGTGTTTTCTTGTCCTAGGTCGTGTTGATCCACGTGGGCGTCACCTCAGTCATTGCTCATATTAAAATCGGACAGATGCACGCAGCGCTGGAGTCCAAAGTGCTCGTGGTCAGCGCTCAAGGTGAAAAACCACATTTGCACAAACTGAAAGCAAAAACTTACATAAATGTGCAAAGAGAAAGAGATTGACTTCTTATTTACATCCGGAATAGTCATTATTCTAAAAACCATGGATGCAGAGTTACAAGATTAAACATCATTCTGTATATCAGTGAAGATTTGCACATTTTTTTTATAATTTTTTTTATTTCCAAATATATCTGTAGGTGTCCCTGAAACATCATGAGCCTCTTTGATTGTTTTCATCTATGTGAAATACCCTTAAATTCATTCAGTGGTGCAAAATTTACTGAACTTTCCACTGCACTTGAGAGGAAAATGTTGTTTCTTTGCAGATCCAGATTGATAGAGAATATAGCCAACAAATAAATTATAATATGTTTTTATAGGCTCAGACAGGACAAGACTTTATTGATCCTATGAGAGAATTCACAGTAAATAAATTTAACTAAATTATCCGCTGCAACAAGAAAATAAAGCACTAACCCAGTATGACATATATTGTTCTTAAATTACCCGGTTTGCACAATGAGTCTTTTTTATCTTTTGGCACCTTAAGAGCATTTTGATGGTAAAAAGTACATTTTAAAAGAGTATTTTTGTTTAAATCTGAGTCATGCCTTCAGCAGACAGAAGCCTCTGATGTCCAGTGTGTGATTGTGTTTCAGTTTGTGGAGACGAAGTGTGCGAGCTGGAGGAGAACTGTCTGAACTGTCCTGCAGACTGCGGCATCTGTCCCATGTCCATCACCATCAAGGTGGCCATCGGGCTTCCAGTCACGCTGTTCAGCAGCGGCTTCATCCTCACCATGGTGGTCAGTCTGCAGACAAATATGGAACTTTACTTTCTGAATTTTTGAATATTTATACAGTGAAATACAAACAATCAAAACCGCAAAATAGACTGTGAATTTAGATGTCTAATATAAAGTAAGATCTGTGACAAATGCAAGATTTTAATGTAAAGTTATGTGTAAAACACTCATATTGTACATGATATGATCTAAAATGAACTTCTTATTATTGCAATTATATGCACAAATGTTTTCTCTAAGATAAATCCATGATTTTACAGCTTTTCAACAATAAAGGCCTGTCAGATATAGAGTTTACCGAAGCTTTTGGACCCTCAGCTGCAGGAATATTCCCTCTTTCACAGTGTGCAGACAAACTCAGATGATTCATGCTCTGATTTTTGAGGTTATGTTTTTGATTTTTGTTTCCTTCCTGCAGTGGCTGCAGTACCAGAAACAGAAGATGTTTTGGGATGAAAGCTGGATCATCAACTACAAGAACATCATATTTGGTAAAATGTCCAAAAGACACTGTTTAGTATTTTTTTACAGAAAGAAATCGTCTGATTGTAAACAAAAAACCCTGGAATTTTATAGGATTTTTTCTATCTATTTTAAAGATTTTTCTCTATTTTTTAAATGCATTATATATTTACAAAACAAGCTATGAATTTACATGACAAACCTACAATGATATGAATAATCTGTAACTGTAATCATTACATTTCCATTTTTCCCCCCAAAATATCTATGACAGTTGAAAATGCTTTTGCACATATATCATACATTATTTTTTATGATGAAACAATTTAATACAATTTTATTATATTATATAAAAAATACTAGATACAGTTACTGACAGCTAACAGAAAAAGCAGCATTGATCATGTGAATTTAAATAGATTTGTTTATTTGAGATATATCTTTTATAATTACACAAGCTTTCACAACAGAAATACTGAATGAATATGTTTTTATCAACTATAAGAATGTGTTAACATAAAGTTTTATCATTTATCTTTAAATTTATCCAGCTTTCTATCTATATGATATCACATAAACAGTTACATGCATTGTTATGCTTTATTGGTAATTTCATCATTTTTATACGTAAATATCTTATAATAGACATTAAAAAGCCCCCAAACTATAAATGATCTCATGTAAGAATACTGATTGAAAATATGTGATTATTTTGGCAAATTATTTTTATGAGATGGTTTTTAAAAAAAAATTTTTTTACAGTATTTTTGCACTTTTACAGTTTTTTAGTATTATGTTTTTTTTTTTTTTTTGCATTGTAGGATATTTTTGCATTGCCTATACTCGGTAATAAAAGTATTTCTCATCCAATTACAATAGTTTTTGTACTCCAGCTGCAAAATTCCTTCACTAATTTGTTCCTCTAAGTGTAACCGTGTTTCTGTCGGGTTTATTCTGCAGGCAGAGTTTGCTACATGGGCCTCGGCAGTGCCTTGAGTCTGCAGCGCGCCAAGAGCAACTCCACCGTCAGCCGAACCACCGACGTGACTGTTTTCACCGGCGTCAACACGACCTTCAAACAAGGCTGCATTCAGCCGGGCATATAGTGAGACGTTTATTACCAGCTTAGACATGATATCCTGTGTATTTAGCGCAATATACGTTACAACAGTGGAATAAAGTGTGAAGGTTCACATTTATGTGGAGCAGATGTTACATTAACGTGCTACAGCAACAAATAATTTCAAGTATCAAGGGAAAAGAGATATATAGATATACTAGATAAACTATATATTTTGCAAAATACTTCTTCCATGTTCTCTATTTAATTAGTTAAATTTACTCGCTCTTTGCTGTGTTGCAGCGACGGCAGGACAGTGGCGGTGAAAAACATCCAGAAGAAACACTTCGCCCTGTCCAAGACCATCAGAAAGGAAGTGAAAGAAGTTCGGTGAGGACGTTTCTGCAGAGGGAGAGGCATTTTACTGACGTAACAGACATCAAACTGCAGCTCATTTGGTTCTTTTTAACTGTTTTTGCACCGGACAGGCAACTGGACCATCCGAATCTATGCAAGTTTATTGGCGGGTCCATCGAGGTTCCCTACGTGAGCATCATCACGGAGCACTGCCCCAAAGGAAGCCTGTCGGACGTCCTGCTGAATGACGACATTCCCATCAACTGGGGCTTCAGGTCAGCTCCATTCAGTGCTTGCTGACCGTTTAGGTGGTGCATGCAGCAGAACCAGAACCCATGGTGTTGACGCTGGTGCTTCCTGTTGCCACTAATTCTTCTGCGGTGCTGTTTCTCTTCTCGGCCCTTGCAGGCTGTCCTTCGCCACCGACGTCGCCCGCGGGATGCACTACCTCCACCAGCACAAGATGTTTCATGGGAGGCTTCACTCCAGAAACTGTGTCGTGGATGACCGCTGGGTGTGCAAAATCTCAGGTGACAAAACACCTTCATCGAGTGCAGCGAACCGAAGAGACACATAATTCAGGGTCAACTCAAATAACAACAGACTTACACATGAGTTAGGACAACTTTCAATGAAGTTATGTTCAACCAACAAACTAAGAAAATGTAAAAATGTGTTTGTTTAGGTTCAAAACAAACAAAACTCCTTTATCTGTAACACGACTAGCGCTAGCGACGTTCAGTAGTACAACACATTCAACAGGTGGAGAACAAACTCTGCACATAAATCCACTGTTGGTGATATCACACATGGAAATAATCCCAAATTAAATGTTTTATTGGAGTTTCTTTGTCAAAGAAATGGTTCTCACCGTGACATGCATTGTACTTGTTCAGCCTGAAGATCCTCGAACACACAATTTCAAGCATCGAAAACTGTTCGGGTCAGTTTAGTGGGTAGAAATCTTGAAATCCTGAACTCAAGACGAAGAAAAATTAAGTTATCAAGCCAAATTTCATTAACTTGAATTAAGTTTTAAATCAACTATCGCAGAAATTTGACACAATATGAAGCTGATGCAACATGATGTTAACAATCAAAATAATGTTTGGAATTTTAAAAGGGTGCAAATGATCATTTTTATCTTGCAATTTTGCATTTAATGAAGTGGTGAGAGTAGGTCCCTTGAATTACTTTTAGAGTGACACAGAAAGGAAAAAAAAATCTCTCCCCAGCCACATCCTGCACCAAACACAGACAAAAACACCATCCTGCCTCATTGCACTCTGTATTTTTGTGTATTTGGCCTCAGATTACGGGCTCACGGCCTACAGAAAGGAGGACTTTGAAGCCAACAGCAATGGCTTCAACTGCGGGGACGTGAACCTGATCTACTGCGCTCCGGAGGTCCTGCTGGGGAGCAGCTCCAACATGACGCCGCCGGCAGACGTCTACAGGTGCAGAGCAGCAGCCGCTTTGGCTGCAGCTTTTATTTTGTCATATTTCATTGGCGTCATAATTTGAGGTCATCCAGGTCATCAATCCGTCAGTAAAAAAGCAGCTGGACTTGTCTTGTGGTTCCTGAAGATGCAAAGCGCCTCTAAAACCTCTGAGGCTGCGATGGAGAGACAAACACCAAAAATATCTGTTTTGTTTCTATGGAGTCCTGCTCTGGACAATAAACGAGTGTTTTCCCTCCTCTCCTTTCAGCTACTCCATGATTCTGGTTGAGATTGCGACTCGCTCTGAGCTCCTTTTGGTGAGTACGTCAGCCCTCTGCGCAGATTACAACCTTCAGCTCCCTTTTGATCTCTGCTGTGTAAACAGGACCCGGCCGACGGAGTGAGGATGGATATCATGTGGCGCCCTCCGCTGCCCGAGCTCAAAGCGGGGAAGGCCGACACCGACTGTCCCAACCAGGGAGACTACTGCGAGGTCTGCACACGCTCGCACTAATTCAGCTCGTGTTGATTTGACTCTGGGATAACTTGTAGTCACACAGCCACAGATGTTTTACTGTATATCCTAAGCATTACTCCGTATAAACACGATCTCTTCTCTGGGAAACCCGAGCAGCTCATCAAGAAGTGCTGGTCTCACAACGTCACCACCAGGCCCACGTTCGAGCAGGTGAAGAAGATGCTGGAAAAGATGAACCCACACAAAGTCAGCCCCGTGGACATGATGATGAACCTGGTAACAAACAACTGGACACAGTCAAACACAACAAGGCTGTTGTTGTAAGTTTCAGACACACAGCTGTTTTTTTTTTTTTTAACTGCAGATGGAGAAATACAGCAAACATCTGGAGGCCATAGTGGCAGAAAGAACTCAGGATCTTCTTCAGGAGAAGCAGAAGACAGATCGGTTGTTGTACAGTAAGTCAGGATGACACTGAAGGTTCATTTTGCTGCATTGGAATTGATCTTGGTATCATACAAGATCACTCAACAATGTATGAGAAGCCCCTGCAAAAATATGAAGGAAATGCCTAAAACAAGGAGTTATTTTATGAGCTTCAGCTGTTTTTTAGTCCATCTTTTGGAGTTGAAACCAAAATCTAATGATACATTGATTTATTTAATCATATTAGAATTTAACAGATTAAAAATATACGACCATAGAAGGCAGAAGACAAAGGATGTGTATGCCAGAAAATGTGTCATAGATCAGCTGTAGTACCTGGTTGTTCCACCAGGTGGAGCCTCTTACTGTTGGCAGCACAAAGGATCATGGGAATGTTCATGTTCAAATCTAAATTGTTAAACGAGTATTTTGGGGCTTTTACTTGTGTTGTGATTGAATTTCGATTGTTATGAGCAGGTGAGGGTTTGGGGGGGATTTAGGGAGGAACCAATTAGATGATAAAAACAGGTTATAAGAATAATAATACATTTTATTTATAAAGCACTTTTCCGAACGCTCAGACGCACTGCACAGTGAATAAACACAACAAGAAATAAAAACAACATGCAAAAAAAGAAAAAAAGAAAAGAAAACAGCAGCAGAAAGCAAAAAGACACTGAGTGCATTTAAAAACAATCATACATTAAAAGCATTTTTGTTGAGGTGAGTTTTGGTGAGTGATTTGAAAATAATAAGAAGAATGAGAATAAGAATAGAAATAAAAACATGCAATGTGGGAGTTAGCCAGCAACGGGCCGCCATGACAGAGACTAAGTTAATGACCTCCAGAGAGTGAACTTAACTTAACTTGGCATCAAATTAAAAACACATTAAATGTTCTTTGATGTTTATTATTCACTTCTATGTGGGACTAATAGAAAATAGAAATGTATGTCCATTCATTTTTGAATGAATATTTAAGACAAGCCACTTCAATTATTGTGTTTGCATAACTCAAGATAACAAATTAATTCAACAAGATACTTAATTTAAACAACTGTTTTTTTTGTGTTTTTACAAATCAAGATGTTGATAGAAGTTTGTTGGTTTAACTGAGAATTTAGGTTTGAACAACTTGAAATGTCTCAATGTCTTCACAGATAACTTGATTAAACTGTAAAGTTGGACGGACTAGTTTGTCAGCTTCTCTTTTGCCACCTCAGCTGCTTATTTTAAGGTTTAAAGAACCGAGATAAATGTGAAAACAATAAAACATTCCCATGTCAAGATTTTTGCCACATTGCAATTATAAAGTTGAGAGATGCCAATTTAAAAGCATTTTCTTTATTTTTTTTACCCAGTTTATGTGTTATGAAGGCGTCTAACTCTGAAAATAGTCATAGTATGACAGTAAAACTTGCCATAGTGTCTTTAAATATACTAAAGTTAATGTACATAAAGCATGTGCTGGTTCTGTAGGGTTCAGGTGGAAACTTTTATCAGATTTGGTTGATTTTGTATGAAATTATCAACCTATTATTAGTACAGCTGGTTGCAGGTTGATTTTAAATTCAACACTTGGGCATTTTTGAAGTTGTTGGTGTTTAATGATCCTAACAGTTACTGCGCTGACACTGGTGCTGAAAGTCAAATGTTCCTACTGCCATCTGGTGGAACAAAAGCAAAGACGGAACACTTCTAGTTGATAAACTCTTGTGCAGGTATGTTACCGAAGCCGGTGGCTGATGATCTTCGTCAAGGCCGGACAGCCGAGGCTCAGAGCTACTCCAACGCCACCGTCTACTTCAGGTTTGTGTCTCAGCTTTCTGTTTTTGTAATAAACCTAATTTAGATAATAATCTGAAGTGCAGTAAACTCACATTTTTAAAGCAGTGGGGGGACTTGCATCACTAAATTGAGCTTTAAATGATTTACAGTAAGTAAAATCTTGCGAGTGATGCCCCTACATGTAAGGATTTTTCTTTTATGAGTATTGTTCAAATTGCTCAGTCTAACTTAAATATACATCATTGGGAGGGATTTTCTCTTATTGTACCTTGTTGTAGGCACAGTTTGCTTCTTCTACTAACCATGACTAACGCTGTATTTCTGATAACAGTGACATTGTGGGTTTCACGGAGCTGTCTGGTGCCAGCACCCCCCACCAGGTCGTGGACTTCCTCAACCAGCTCTACACCACCTTCGACGACATCATCGACAACTACGACGTCTATAAAGTGGAGACGATCGGCGACGCTTGTACGTGAGAGATAAATACGTTTCACGAAGCAGAACCTTTGAATAAAGTCCCAAATCTGAAATCCTGAGTTTTGCTTAAAAAAATAAGAACAACACAAATACACGCCTGGACGCTATCTGAGGATCTCTCACTCTTCCTGTGTTTTTCCTCGTCCAGACATGGTGGTCTCTGGGGTCCCTCAGGAAAATGGCATCAATCATGCTGGAGAAATCGCCAGCATGGCCCTGGACCTCGTCAGCGTCTGCCACACGTTTCAAATCCCCCACAAGCCCAACACTCAGCTGAAGATCCGAGCTGGAATCCACTCAGGTTCTCGGGGTTTCTAATCCATATCCAGCATCTGTTTAACGGCCACTCTCACGATGTGCGGCGCACCATATCCATCAATCAAACATCCAATTCACTGACAGGCCAGCCGCTTGGGAGATTCTTATGGACAGAAATTCTAGTACAATTCAATTAGGGCATAAGACATTAGATTTGCAACAAGCAGGAAGATCAGCTGTAGAGCTAATAATAATAATAATTTTATTTACACAGCTCCTTTACAGACAGGACAAAAAAGAAGGAACTCAGGAAGAACAACAGAAGGCTGGTCAGTCCAAATATGGTGAAACATTCTCAAAATAAATTAGTACAACAACACCGGATAGAATAATAAAATGCCACATCCAACAAGTGGAATAACAGAATAATAGAGGGTTAAACACAAGGCTAAAAATGATAATAATAGTAGCAGTAGTAGGAAACAAGTACATTTTAAAAATTAAAATAAAGACTGAACAATGAAAAAAAGTAAAAACAAACAAAAACAATTATATAATAAAAATGACAATAAAAAATAGAAATAAACTCAAACTTTCAAACTGCAACTGTGAAAATATTCATAGCATGAAGGTAAATTTTGCACGGCTTCATTAAATACGCTGAAGTTGCTGTACATGAAGTATCTGCTGTTTCTTTAATGCCAGCTTGGACGACATTCGTGTCATTAAGGTGCTGTGCAAATAAAATCGAAGCTTTACTGCATCTCTTAAGTGTGAAAACATCAATTACATGCATAAAGTGAGAAACAGGAATGTTTGCATTGTTAATTCCGTTTAGATCCTCATTTAGACGGTTTCAGCTTTCTGGGCGACTACAGTGTCATTTATTAAATATTCTCTTATCCCTGCAGGACCTGTTGTAGCCGGTGTAGTCGGCACCAAAATGCCCCGATACTGTCTGTTTGGAGACACTGTCAACACAGCGTCACGGATGGAGTCAACAAGCGAAGGTAAGGAATGTCTCAAGGGGGAACTAAGTTTGGTTTTTTTTAAAAGAAAAATATTAAATTCATGGTAACTCTGGGCTCCATGGTGGCTAGACAATAACCAGTTTGCATCCCAGTTGTGCTGGTTGGATCTTCCTGTGTGGAGTTTGCATGTTCTCCCTGTGCAGCGAGGGTTCTCTTCGGCTTCTGAATGACTCTTTGCCCCAGATATCTTTGTCCCCGTGTTGTTGGAATCCCCTTATCATCTGCATTAAGTCAGTGAAGCTGAGAGACAGATTGTAGGTCCACTTGAATAAATAAACACAGACACTGTCTGAGATAAAGATAATCTTGTAATGTGCAGTTCAAAAAGGCACAAAGGGCAACGAAACTTTGGCCTCACAGGCTGGAAAACAGTTTTTAGTTTACACCGACATGCTGTCTTATTCGTTTTACCTTCTCTTTTTATATAATCTGTTTTTTATAATTAGCTTAGAGGCTTTTTTTCCCCTTTCATTTATTTATTTAACTCCAACTGATGCACTATACTGCACCTGGATAGGTCAGAATACAATTACGTTGAACATGAACAATGAGAAATTATTCTATTCTATTCTATTCTATTCTATTCTATTCTATTCTGTTCTGCAGCACACAGGCAGGTTGAATGATAAATTTTTAAAAATAAAATTAGGTTTATTCTACCCAAATAGTTCTTTGACTAACTAGTTGATGTTTTATAGATTTAATCTTCTCAAAATATTACTGGCTGTCCAATTAATTATAATTTTACAGGTTTATTTTGTCCAAATAGTACTTTATGATTAATTAGTTTGGTTTTAAAGGAAATTTCTTTTTTTTTTTTTTTTTTATTAATTAGTTTGGTTTTAAAGGAAATTTCTATTTTTATTTTTTTTTTTAAAGCATGACTTTTCACTTTAGATATGGAGAAAGAAAAACAACATAAAACATGCTGTAAAATGTGTGCAGGATACCTCACATATGCAGCACAGGATAGCACCATGTTTTGAGCAGAATATGAAAAACAAACCAAATAAATGTGACACCAAACTAAATACAAATCATTCAGTATCTTGTAAACATGTTTTTTAAAATAAAATAAGTGTGATGTGACTGAACATGCAATTTATAATTTAAATACAAGTTAAGATTAAAGTTGTAAAAACTGTTTTTTTTATGTTCGCCACAGCCCTGAAGATCCAGGTGAGCGGCGCCACCGCTGACCTGCTGCACACCCTCAGAGGTTACATTCTGACCTGCAGAGGAACGCTCAACGTCAAGGTCTGTCTCCTGCACGCTCACGTGAACGTCCATCTGTTACACGCTTCACGATATTGAGCCTTCACATGCTGTCTGAAGTCCAGCTGCATTTTGCCGAAGCTCTTGTTTTATCATTTATAATTTAAGAATCTTTTTGGGATTCTCAGCTTGACCACTGAGGAGGAGCCTTTTGAGTTCCTCGAAGAACTGCTGCTGCAGAAAGGTTCATCAGATAACTGTTTTGTGGTGTTTGAACTCCTTCGTCTTCTTAGAGATACAATAAAATAAGAAATTCTAAATTCTTTAGCCAGATATTGCTCAGAAAATAAAATTACAGCACATGAAAACATTTAAAACAATAAAATACATCAATGAAAATAAAATGAAGTGAGCTAAGATGAGACTAGAATAGAAAAAACTTGATAAGTACCAGTGATTCTG